TGGGAGATGGAGGCGGGGAGGCGGCCGCGGGAGGGGAAGCGCTTGCTGGGTCATCCGCGTGTGCGGGTGACGGTGGAGGCGAGCGAGGAGCGTGGTAGTGAAGCCGGGCCCCGGCGCGGGGGTGGAAGGGCTTCCCCAGCCCACAGGGCTGGGCAGGAGTTGGGGTGACTTCAGGAACATCGCTGTAAATTATTAGGAGTGGAAGTTTCCAGAAATATTTAGTGCAGCAGCAGCAGCAGCATTGAAACGTCCGCCTGCATCACGTGGCCGCTCGGCGGAGAGCTTGGGATCGGGGGAGGGAGGGAGGGGCTGCCGCGTCCCTGCACCTCCTGCGAGGAAACTCAAAATCTTTGTGTGTTTTGCAGAGTGAGATTAGAAGTAGGGAAGATGGGTTGATTTTTTTTTTTTCCAAGGATCTGCAAATGGGGTTTCGTGCCATAGTTTGTTCTCGGCGGCTTGAGTTGGTTGCGATCGGTTTTTACTGCTGATATTTCATAGTGGATGCCGTCCTAATCCTCCTCCATTCCGGTTTCTCGGAGTTTGGTGTGGGTGGGAGGAGTGGTGTAGTAGAGGAAGCCTTAACGACCTGCCCGGCCCGGCCCTCCTGATCACGCAGAGGCCATGCTGCATAGAGAATGGGGCGGCGAACTTCGGGCGCCTGGCGCTGCCTCCTGCGAGTCTGGGCGGGGTGAGTGCGCGCTCCGGGAGCTGGAGGCAGAAGTGCGCGAATGGGCTCGGAGCGAGGGAGGGCGGGCCCCGTGCGGTGTGTTTCTAGTGAATGGAGCCAGCCCTGGCCCACACACCTAGGGGAGCAGAGAGACTGCTCTGCTCTAGCGACTTGGGCTTTTTTATTATTATTTTGCCTGCTGTGTAGTTATCATTAGCCAACGGTTATGCTTTTCTTGGTTTGGGATGGGAGTGGCAGTAGGTGGCTGCCTGCCTCTGAGTTTGAAGTCGGTAGTCCGTCACTTGTAGAGCCACCACATTGCTGGGTAATCCCTTGTGTATGCTCCCCAGCGAGTGGATTTGAGGATTGAGTGTTCCGAGGGGAAAAAGCGTTTGTGGTTTCACCCTTCTCGCTGGGGCTGTTGATCTGCCTGGTTGTGTATCCTAAGTGCACGGGGCACTGCAGTTAGTGGAAAGAATGCTTTGGGAGCTACTTGATTTGGGGGACTCACTGTGCTTGGCATTGACCAGAAAGCCGCCATTTCTGTATGTACTCTACGCTTCAGGAATAGGCAGGTCATATCGAAGGTAGCCGCTAGTTCTAAAGAGGCAAACTCTTCAGTATTTAACACAAGCTTCTATTCTAAACCTGATTTTTTTCCCCAAAAGAATTTAGCTCAGAGAACTCAGAGAGAACAATTACTTGAAAATGAAATTTTTTAGTCATTATATTTTTTGTTTTGGTTATTAAATTATGATAGGTAGGCCAAATAGGAAGGTTCGTTCAATGTTTAACCAAAAAAAATCCGAAAACGTGATATGTAGATCTTGAAGCTTTGTGGACATTGTTTTCAGCCTTAACTTTTAAGGCTGTTCTGATCTTTTAAAATTGTCTGGCTCTTGAAGGGAGGAAATTGAAACATCTTTATTTGAATCGCCTTTCCCTTTTTATGTTAGTATTTAGAGCAAAGATTTTTTGTTGCAGGTACTCTACTAAAAAACACGTTTAATAACTTCAATAAAAGTTTTTGAAATCTTATCAGTTTTACTGTCCTCAGTAGATCAACAGACTTTAGGTTACTAAAAATCCTTCAACTCTTTTTTCATGCAGATTCTCAAGCCTCTTTTTTTTAAAAAAAAATCTTTTTATTGATTTCAGAGAAGGGAGAAGGAGAGAGAGATAGAAACATCAAGGATGAGAGAGAATCATTGATCGGCTGCCTCCTGCATGCCCCCCATGGGGGAGGAGGCTGCCACCATGACATGTGCCCTTGACCGAAATTGAACCTGGGACCCTTCAGTCCACAGGCCTATGCTCTATCCACTGAGCCAAACCAGGTCGGGCCCTTCATCTCTTAGTACCTTGATTTTTTTTACATTATGTCTAACAACCGAATTCTAATTTGTTGTAACTGACATTATCATTAAATAAAACATTTGATCAAGCTAGTTTGTCCAAACATAATCAAATTAGCCACTCATTTCCTGATCCTGGAAGGTTTTTAAAAGGGGGACAAGTGGAGATGACCATCTGACTTGTTGGGTCTAAATACAATAAGAGTTCTTAACCTGAGGTTTCGTGCCTGGCTTTCAAAGAGTCTGGCATCTTTTGTAATTGTATACAAAACTATTAGCTTTTAATTTGGCAAGAACTATCATGCCCTCTGATTGTAAGGCATCTTGACCCCAAAACGTTAAGGAGTACTGATTTACTAGCCAGTCAGACTTGAGTGGCATTAACTTTGAAGTAAAAGCAAAGGAAAAATTTTTATATTGCTGGGCAACAAAAATGTGGATGTGTGCCAGCATCTTGGAGTGGAATCCTCTTAAAAGGATAACATTGCATATGAACCAGTAGGTTTTAGCCAGTACATTTTTTGAGGTGACGAAGCTCATTTTCTGTTGTGATGGAATTTGTTTTTATTTGGAAAATAGTTGGCAAGCTTTACAGTTTTTACCTTGCCAATGAAGACCTGGAAATTTGAAGGAAAAAAATCTTGTTTGACATATTATCATAAAGGTGTTTTTTTCTAGACCATATATTCAGGGAATTTGTATGCTTGTAACCTTAGTCCCAAATTCATTGAGGGTCGAAAGAAACAAATGTAGATGGTTTAATAGCATATAAAAACTTAAGTTCTTTATAGATGTTAAGAGTATCAAATTTGTTAGGCTGGTGGTTCCTGCTAATCATTGACACATACAATAGCAAAACTTGTGGACCACATTTAATTTTTAGCATCTTCCTGCCTTTTCAGTATATCTTTAAAATTAAGGTAACATGAAATATGAGGGAAGTAAGTTTTTGCTGAACTAGACCTACTTATGAAGGGGGAAAATAAACATGTCCATCCGTACTTAAAAATTTGAGATCAAGACTTTGAACTGTCAATGTTTAGGGCCATAAATTCTTAATAGATTCATCCTAAAAACAGGTTAGGGTAACTTTATATAAATGTTAGTAGAGAACAATACAATTTATTTGGCATCTAGAGTTGAATAGATGCTAATAACTGGTATGGTTATGGAGTAGCTAAGTAATTTCAGCTTTTATTTGCTTTTGTTAAATCTCTGAAATACTCATTAAAATATTTGTGTGAACATGGTTGAAGTAAAATAACTGAGTAGAAAGTTTTGACTGATACTATCAAAACTTCATAGATACCTTAAATATTTTTTCTTTATTTTCAGTAATCTATGCCAGCAATTATGACAATGTTAGCAGACCATGCAGCTCGTCAGCTGCTTGATTTCAGCCAAAAACTGGATATCAACCTTTTAGACAATGTGGTGAATTGCTTATACCATGGAGAAGGAGCCCAGGTAAAGTAGCTGTTCAAAACTTTAGAGCATAGTATAACAAAGTTGTTGGATTTTGAATACAGGTTTAAATAATTGCCTTTTCAAAAAGTATTCCATAGTTTGTATTAATTCAGAATTAAATAGAAATGAGAAATATCTGGAGAGAGAAATTGGATTTTATATATATTTTTTATTGATTTCAGAGAGGAAGGGATAGGGAGAGAGAGAGACACACATCAATGATGAGAGAGAATCATTGATTTGCTGCTTCCTTCACAATCCCCCGTAGGGGGCAAGCCTGCAACCCGGGCATGTGCCCTAGACCCGAATGAAGCCCGGGACCTTTCAATCTGCAGGCTGACGCTCTATCCACTGAGCCAAAACGGCTAGGACTGCATTATCTTTTGACACAGTTAGAGTGGAATAATATTTTCTTATACTTGTTCTGTTATTCTTAACCATTTACTCCATTTAATAAAAAATAGAGCTCTGGCCAGTTTGGCTCAGTGGATAAAGTGTCAGCCTGCTGAAGAGTGCCTGGTTTGATTGCTGTCAAGAACAAGGGCAGCCCTGACCGGTTTGGCTCAGTGGATAGAGCATGGGCCTGTGGACTGAAGGGTCCCAGGTTCGATTCTGGTCAAGGGCATGTACCTTGGTTGCGGGCACATCCCCAGTAGGGGGTGTGCAGGAGGCAGCTGATCAATGCTTCTCTCTCATTGATGTTTCTAACTAACTCTCTATCCCTCTCCCTTCCTTTCTGTAAAAATCGATAAAATATATTTTTTTAAAAAAAGAAGCTCAAGGTGCATTTCTTTCATCTAACTTTTCCTTAAAAAAAACTTTTAAAAAAAGAACAAGGGCACATACCTTGGTTGCAGGATCGATCTGCATGCAAGCTGCATGTGGGAGGCAACAAATCAATGTTTTTCTCTTCCCCCACCCCCTCCCTTCCACTCTCTAAAAAAGAATTTTAAGATATCCTCTGGTGAGGATTTAGAAAAAGAAGAAAGAAAAAAGACAGAGCACAATGTATTAAATGCTTTGTAGAGATAGTAAAAGTAGTATGTACCTTATACATATATCATGCATTTGTAGTTAATATGATTCTTTTAATCTGTAAAATATTTAAATTATAAAACTACTTCACAGATATAAACTTGTTTTATTGATTTTTTTTTTAAGAGAGGAGAAAGGGAGAGATAGAAACATTGATGAAAGAAACATCAATCGATTGCTTCCTGCATGCCCCCCTACTGGGGATGGAGCCCACAACCCTGGCATGTCTCCTGACCAGGAATCGAACCTATTGGTGCATGGGTTGACACTCAAGCACTGAGCCACACCAGCTGGGCTATAAACTTGTTTTTAAGAATCTTAATACCAAACATCTTTATGTTGTTGGAATTTTAAAATATATATATTTTTTTATTGATTTCAGAAAGTAAGGGAGAAGAGAGATAGAAACATCTATTATGACAAATAATCATTGATCGGTTGCCTCCTGCTTGTGCCCCCTCCTCCTGCCCTGGGGATTGAGCCCACAACCCAGGCATGTGTTCTGACCGGGAATGTAACCATGATCTTCTGGTTCATAGGTTGGCTGGGCTGTTAATTTGAATTTTAACATTTGTAAAAGTGGTACTGTTAATGTAGGGAATTATCTTACCAGATAATCTATTTTTTATCATTGTAAAGTGTGGGGGTTTTGTTTTTAACACCCCATTTAAAGAGAGATGAGGCAGGAATGTTTCTAAAATGTAATGTTAACAAGAAACTGGACAGTCTTGAGACTTCACCCTGTGGAACTAATGTCAAAGTTTTAAATGAGTAAGTTTCCTTTCTGTTGGATAAGAAAATCTTGTTAATGAGAATTTTAAAGGAAAGGGCCATAAAAATTCTGTGAGTGGAAAAATGACTCTGCAGTGGTTTTTATAAGCTTGTTAGTCCAGTTTTATATTCCTAGGGGCAGTTGGTCAGAGTTCTTTTCTCCAAAAGCATTCCTGGAAAAGTTACTCCATCTGTATCACACATATCATGTAGTTGTTTCCTCATGCTGTACATTCAACATGGAGCTTTAAGCTTAATTTCATTTTAACATGTATGTATGGAAAGCAGCTGCTTTTAGAAGAAAGTATAAAAGTAAGGTTAAAAATGCATGAAGAAAAGTTGGGCTCAGCTTTGAATATATTTGAAACACAAATCTATAGCCATTAGGAAGATGAGCATTTAATTTTTTCACATCATTCAGTTATTGCTGCTGTTTAATATTTGTCTTTTTTAACCTGATTTACAGTATCTAAAAGTAATATGAATAAACGAAGAGACCAGTGTTCTAGGCTTATAAATGAGAATTAGCAGTAATTTTTATCAAGAAAAATATGTTGTAATACTGCCGTTAGTAATGTTTCACAGCATTGAGATTTAATGATTTGTTTTAAATTTGTATTTTAAATAAACAGGTTTAGAAAAGTAAATATTTTCTATGTTTAAAAGCAAAACTTTCTCAAATGTAAGGATTTTAAGTTTAGATCTCATGACAAATCAGTTGCATAAAGATGATCAGTAAACTGCTATTTGTTATATTATGGACTAGAGGCCTGATGCATGAAATTCGTGCAAGAGTAGGTAGGCCTTCTTCCCACCCCCCACTTCACCCCCAACTGCCCGGTACCTGCTTCCCTCTGGCCCCAGGCTTCCCTCACAGAGGGAGGCCCCGCCCACCCGCCACAGCCCACAGATTGGTGGTCTGGGCCTCCCTCTGCAGGCAATGGCTGGGCCCCTGACCATTCGCATCGCATCTGCCTTGGCTGGCCTGGCACAATTGGGTGTCATAGCGTGGTCCTGGATGGGCATTCTGCTGTTTGGCCATTCGGTCAATTTGCTAATTACGTTTTATTATATATATAGGATAAGGAAACTGAGGTTCAGAGCCTAAAGATTAAGAACGCCTTTTCTAAAAATCATGTCTTTAAACTTCTAGTTCTGTTTTTTTTGTAACCATCTCTTTGAGGGTCTTATTTTGAATAAAAAGAAGTAGAAAGATGTAGTAGAAAACGTGTTAGTTGTCTTAATTTTATTCTAGTAAGTTTTCTAGTTATTGCTCTGGAGTCTCCTGTATAAACTATTACCTACCTTGCAAGAGATTGGAGGATTAATGATGAGGTTTGTAAAACACCTGTTATAGTACCTGATACTTAACAGGAATTTTGTTTAAAGAGTACTTTTGGAAGTATAAAGATTTAGTATATGTGATGTCAAATTGTTTTTAAAATACAGTATATATTTTTTCCTAATCTCATAAAATATGTGCTGAAAATGGCAACTAGAAATTATACTGATTAAACTTTTAAACTAAACTGTAGTTAGTCTAACTTTTTTAAAAGGATTACATAACTTTGGAGGGGAAGAAATTATTAGAAGGGGTGACATTGGTTAATTGATCATATAGGGTTCAGGTATAGGCTTCTAAGTTATAAGATCTGTAACTTGTGCCCACCACCCAATATCAAATCTTCTCTGTCACCATATATTAGGACCTCCTTCACCCGCACACCCCAAAGGTGCCTTTTTAAATCTGTAAACAGAACTTTTACTTAAATGGGGGGGCTGGAGTAGGAAATTTAGCACTGAAACATTAGGACTACCTTCCGTTATAAGCATTTTTCTATTTTTAGCCAAGTAGGCAGCTAGGGGGAAAAGATATGGAAGAGTTGGGTGTTTTCTCCACTATTGTGTTGTCTTTAACTCTTTTAATCTATTGCTTAGCAACTAGAATACTTTCACCATTCAGTTAGTAACACAGGGAGATGCAAGATTTTCTCCCTCTTTTCTTTTTAACCTCTTTGGAGTGTTTAGTTAGTAATAGAATATTATATAAGGATAGTGGGATTAGGGCAAAATAAAGACACTAGGATGCAAATACTAGAATTAACTTTGGAGAGTAAAATTACAGGAAAACTGAAAGGAAACATGATTTTAAGAGGCATGGATTTTTGATATCTCTTTAATATTTGTTACTATTTTATATTTTACTTATTTTTTGTTAATCATATTCTGAGTGTATTTTTCCCCATTGATTTTTAGACAGTGGAAGGGAGGGGGAGAGACAAAAGAGAGAAACATTGATTTGTTGCCTGCCACACTTGCCCTTGCCCAGAATCAAACCTGAGGCCCTTCAGTGTGAGGGCTGATGCTCTAACCACTGAACAAAGCCAGCTAGGGCTATTTGTTACTATTTTAAATGCAACTCTATGTCTAGTAAGAAATGAATATTTAGAGATTCTCAGAATCAGAACTGCTAAAATGTGCTTTAGCCCTAGATAACTCACATCAAGTACTCTCTCTGCCTTTAGTCTGGCTTTTATATAATAAATTATAGTCCCTTAAGTTATCAGTCCTTAATGAAATGAAATCTATAATAAAAGTGTAATATGCTAATTAGACCGGTATCCCAACGACGACCTTCCGGACAAAGCCGGGGCTGCGAGGGCCAACCCCCTTGCACGAATTTCGTGCATCGGGCCTCTAGTATATATATAAAAGCCTAAGTGACCAGCCGGTAGCTATGACACATACTGACCACCAGGGGTAGATGCTCAACGCAGGAGGGGAAACCACAGGCACGGAAATATGGAACTGTCTGAGGAATCTCAGAGGGGAGAGGAGAGGGCAGGAAGAGATTAACCAAAGATCTTATATGCATACTAGGGGCATCGATGGGGTCCCTCGGCCTGGCGGCCTGGCCTGCAGGAATCTGGCTGAAACTGGCTCTCCAACATCCCCCAAGGGGTTCCAGATTGTGAAAGGGTGTAGGCCAGGCCGAGGAACCCCACCAGTGCATGAATCCGTGCACCGGGCAGAGAGAGAGAGAGAGAGAGAGAGAGAGAGAGTGTGTGTGTGTGTGTGTGTGTGTGTGTAAGTAATTGCATTTTCCAGCTTACACTCTAGCCCTAGCCCCAAACACTCAGGTGAAACCCAGGCAGCTGATTTTTAAGTTGCATGAGGCTTCTGGTGGTGGTGTTAGAACCACAACCTAGCTTTAGTTTAACTGAAATGTTTTAAAAACAATAGAGTACATGTTGCTGGTTGACTAATGGCAAAATGATGAATGTGGTATAACTGCTACCTGAGGAAAATAATTCTCAATATCAAAGCCAAAGTAGGAATAAGGGTTATTTCTATAAGTTGGAATAAAAGCCAAGTCAAAGATTATGAGATGTCTCTATCAGAGATGATTGAAGTAAGAATGCTTCTGCCCCCATCCCCTTTTTTGATGTTTCTTGTTTTATAGAATAGATTTAAACCCTTGATCAAGTAAATTAGTCTAACAGGAGGGTAATCAAAACAAATTTAAAAACCATCAAGCTAGCTTTTTGCCTACAATGTGATAGAAATAGGTAAAAGATCATTAGGGGGAATCCAGTTGAGCTACAAAACAGCCCTTAAAAAAGATTAAGCTGTTGCTTTTTAAGGGAAACACACATATTATTAATGATAGAATTAACAGTCTTTGTTCATAGATAGATAGAAAACTATAATGGTTTAAAAAACTATATAAATAATGTCAACCTGGCTAGATCTTTAAAACTGTTCATTTCAATCATATTTCAGTAAAGGTGAGGAAGCTAAAAACTGTCAAATGGAAAGAGCAAATTACAGGAGGATTTCTGTAAAATACACGATATAAAATTTGGTGACTACACAACTATTATTTATTTATTTATTTATTCATTTATTTATTTAATATTTTGGATCGGTCCTCACCTATGATTTGGAAACATTTAAAGCTTTATTTATTTAAAAAAAATTTTTTTAAATATATTTTATTGATATTTTACCGAGAGGAAGGGAGAGGAATAGTTAGAAGCGTCGATGAGAGAGAAACATCGATCAGCTGCCTCCTGCACACCCCCTTACTGGGGATGTGTCTACAACCAAGGTATATGCCCTTGACCGGAATTGAACCTGGGACCCTTCAGTCCTCAGGCCGACACTCTAGCCACTGAGCCAAACAAATGGTCAGGGCTGCATTTTTTTTTTTTTTAATCCTCACCCGAGGATATTTTTCCATTGATTTTTAGGAAAAGTGGAAGAGAAAGGGAAGGACAGACAGAAATATCGATGTGAGAAGCACATCGATTGGTTGCCTCCTGCACGAGCCCCGATCAGGGCCGGGGCCGGAAAGGGCCTGCAACCGAGGTTGAATCTGGGACCCTTTGGTCTGCAGGTTGACGCTCTATCCACTGAGACAAACTGGCTAGGGCTACTCAACTGTAGTTTCTATGAAATTCATATACATGCTCTGAAAATATGGACAGGAAAAGACCAAATTCATGATAGTGACTATTTTTAAAGAATGAACGAAGGAAGGAAATGGCACTGGAGAAATTTATTAGAGATGACTTCCATAAGTTTTAGATCTTTTATGCTTAAAAGAAAAACACATTCTAGATAATGGCTACATTGATTTAATTTTTTTTCTTGGTTTGCATTAAAATTTTTTTAAATCTATTTTTATTGATTTCAGAGAGGGAGGGAGAGGAAGAGACAGATAGAAACATCAAGGATGAGAGAGAATCATTGATCGAGTGCTTTCTGCACCCCTCCACCCCCTTACTGGGGATTGAGCCCACAACCCAGGCATGTGCCCTTGACTGGAACCAAACCTGAGACCCTTCAGTCCGTAGGCTGACACTCTATCCAATGAGCCATACCAGCTAGCTAGGGCATGCATTTTTAAAAATTTAAAGCTTTCAAAATAAGCTAGGATTTAATATATGAAATTTGAGGACATTCAGAAATGCAAGTTTACAATATATTTAAGAGACTATTTTAAAAATTAGTCTAAGGATCTTAATGTCATATATATCTATAGGTATTTGAGATTTAAAGTATTAGACCTAGTTTATATGCCTTCACACAATACATTTTTATAGATAAATTTTGTTAAGAGGTAGGTTGGTGACTTGTAAAACAGAGTATACCATTATTTATCTAAGTAGATGAAATTTTCTATGTTTTTGGTTGATTGTAAGTACTGAGAACTTGTTTATGTCAGAGAAGATCTTTGATTTAAGAACCCCAAAAAGGCTATGTTGTTTCAAAGGAATAAATATTCCTATTTTTAATTGAAGTTTGAGTGATAACAAACACATTTTTATTTCTATAAAGACTTATTATTTGAGTGTTTCTGAAAGTTGGTAGAATCATTGTCCTGTTAGGATTCGTGCCTTGTTCAATACCATTTTAATAAATGATTCAAAACAACAAGTGAGTTTAAAGTTCTTCTTGTATAATATTTTAGCAAAGAATGGCTCAAGAAGTACTGACACATTTAAAGGAGCATCCTGATGCATGGACAAGAGTCGATACAATTTTGGAATTTTCACAGAATATGAACACGAAAGTAAGCAAGTAGTGGTTTTAAAATTTGTTTATTTCTTCTTTTCTTCCAGTCATAAACTTTGAGGAAGGTATCTCATTTTTAGTATGAGCATTTGTTATCTCAAATCATTTAATATTGTTAACTTATTCAAAATTGAGTATTAAACATAGAATTAATTCTTGCAAATAGTCCTAAGAATTATGAAGCTTTGTAATTGGGACTAGTATGCAAGGTGGCTTTTTTGTTTGTTTGTTTTGGTTTTTTTGTTTTGCTTTGTTTTCTTTTTAGAATATGTGTACAGATCTAAGTAGCATAAATTCTGAATGTATTCAGAGATGAAACATAACATCAGAGGAGTTTTTGGGGGCAAGTAATCAATATAATACAGGCTCTAAGCACCTCCAACACCAAGTTGTGTGGGCAGTGTAAAACCCTACTCTGTGGTACCAATGCTTTTAATGGGACAGCTCTCAGTTTTTATTTGCAATTGAAAATGTTATAATCCAGGTCCTTTTTCTTAAGTTTGAACAGAAGGGTTGATCAAAATGTGTTTTGACTGTTTTAGGCTTGGTGATTCACACTTCTCTTTAAACTGCATTAACTTAACAAAATACCATGCATGGCATTCTGTTTAATATGCACAAGGTTTCCACTTGCTACACATTGTGTTAAAACAGAAAATAGCCATGTTCACATCTGTTTCTGAAATCAGACTGTGTTAATTAACAGTTTTAAAATATTAATTAGTTTTGACATCTTGTAAATTTTCGGGCAAAAATACAGTTCAGAACTTCCTCAAAGTGCTAACCTTAAGTAACATAACAGTGTTTGCCTGTTTGCTTGCCTGGTAAATTTTGCTTTTTATACTGACAGACATTACTAATGTTTAAGTTGATTTATCAACAGTATTTTTAAAAACTCAAATTTGTCTTGTGAAAAATGAGATGATTAGAGGAACAGAAAGAAAGCAACAGGTAAAGAATTCTTCGATTTACATAAATTACAAATGATTTGGTGCTAAAGTTATGCACTCTGACATTTGGCTTTTATGCAATCATTTTTTTTTCTTTAAAGATGTTAACACTACCTGATATTAATCATAATGTTCCATTATGTTGATTGCTTGTAATAGGAAGAAAAGGGGTGTCTTCCTGTGCAACTGACACAGCTAGGCTTTGACGGCAGGCCTCCACAAGGTCTACCCTTTTGATTCCCTTTAACTGAATTCTGTTCATCAATTGTTTTTGTTTCATGGGCGGTGGGAGGGGAAAGGGGAATTCAATGCATAAAATAAGTATTTCTGGGGGCTCAGTAGAAATTTCTACCATAGGGATCATTTCATGCATTTATTTTTTTCGTTTAGTCTTTGCTGTTTTCTGTCCCTCATCTTCATAACTCAGCAGTGGATTTCTCAAATCCTGAGATGTAAAGCAGAAATGTAATTCTTTAGAATGATTGAATTACTTGTGGATATTTCCAAAGTAGTCATTTTTCATTGGCCTTCCGATTTGGCTGTCACTTTAGATTTTGGGGTGTGTTTGTTGTTGTTTTTTAAATATACTTTTATTTCTTTCAGAGAGGAAGGGAGAGGGAGAGAGAGAATCATCAATGGTGAGAATCATTGATCGGCTGCCTCCTGCATGCCCCACACTGAGGATCAAGCCGACAACCCAGGCTTGTGCCCTGACCGGGAATTGAACTATGACCTCCTGGTTCATAGGTCAATGCTCAACCACTGAGGCATGCCAGATGGGCCACTTTAGATTTTTGAATAAAAATATTATTGTTCGAATAAATATGAATTCAACTGTAGAGTCTAAATGTTTAGGACAGATTGGGTTTTAGGATATTATGATGGTGATCTATCTATTTCTTTGACCTAACTTGTGAAAAGCTTATATTGGGCTTCCTGCTTCAGCCCCCTTGGCAGAAAGACCCAAATATGAGTTGTGTCTTCTGCAAGCTTATGCTTCCTTTTTACAGTTAGAGAAAGGACTAGACGTTAGTAAACAGATAATTGAGATAACAAAGTATCAAATATAAAGGAAGATGTAAATAAATGTAACAATAAAGGAAGGGGAGACTATCCTTCAATTAAAAACTAAGCTGAAAAACTATGGCTAAATAGGGTAATGTTATTTAAATTATTACTTTTTACTGGTATATTTGTGGTTGCTTTGCTTCATAATTTTTAAAGATCTTTTTAATTAGTTTAGTATTAGCAAGAGGATAATAGTCCTTGTAGTAAAAAAATACATAGCTTTGACAACTTGACAGTCTGATTTCATGCCTATAAAATTAAAGATTTTAGAGCAGTTTTTTTAAAAGTTAATTTAGAATTTTAACCAGAAACTTTCCCTTTTTGTTTTATTTACATTTTTCTGAGACCTTTAGAGAGGTGTAAATGAACATGATAGAAAGCTTCACTATTTACTGCTGATTATGAAACACCTGCATCAAATTTATATTTTCAGAATTTTGCTTTGGCCTTGCTTTTATCTTGGACGTCTCTTTAAGGAATGTTTTGCAAATGTAGGATTTCAGTTGAAAATTTTCCTGAAAAGTGTGAAATGTTAAAATGAAAGAAAACAGCAAAAACATTTACTGTTTGAGCACAATGTAGTTTGGGACAGTCTATATTGTGCTTTGGATAAAATGAGCATTCTTGTGATCCCTTTGGTTGAAATACTAATGCTCCTATTTTATTGTGTGATGACTAACCATTTTAAAGATGAACTCTTATTCTCAGCCAAAACTTGCAATCTGAGGTCTATATATGAGTGAGTTTACCTTTCAGGTATTATAGCTGATTCTTCCCTAATTTAACCGTTAAAACATACCACAATGATTTTGTCTTTTTTCTTCCTCCTGTCTATCCACACTAATTGGTCATGATAATAATTTTGGGTTTTAACTCCTACAGCATTATAAATTGTTACAAATATTCTTGACTATTTAGAGTGAGTAATCAGCAGGAGGGACAAAATGGCTTGAAAGTGGTATCTGTTTATTCATTTTTTACATTTTCAGTTATAACTTCTATATTTAGGAAGGAATACCTGAAAGGTAGATACAGATTGCAACATGCACTTGTATTATTTTTGACTGTGCACAAAAGTTTATCTTTAAGTTAATAGAAATAGCAAATATAAGGGTGGGGTTAAAATTTAAAATTAAACCCATGGGCTGTCTTGCTGCTCCTTAAATAACACACCAGTGATGTTTGTAAAGACTTTCTATAGAAAGTATCTTTGGCAATACTTTAATGCTTGGCCAAGAGCTTACAACTCCTAGAGGATGGTAGGAAGCTTGACAGCATCCAAGCAGCTAAATTCTTAGGAACCTGGTCGTGTTAAAGTACGTGAGCCTGTAAGCAGTCATTTATGCTGTGAATTCATATCTGGCTTCTACTTCCTTCTACAGATAAGCCCAATTGGCTGCAAAAAGGCTTTTTATTTGGTTCTTCCTGGTGTGAGCATGTGTAAACAGCAGGACATTAAATAGAGTAGTAAACAATAAAATGAGGAAAATGCATGAAAACTCAGTATATGGGTGAATAGATCCTTGTTTAATATATGTAATTAAACTTGGTAGCATAATGTTTTTGAAATTTTAGATGTAAATGTGTGAATGTCTGTCCATTTGTGAATCCTGAAAGTTGATAGTCTTACAGTAATATATTCACATATCTCTGTTATCCAATTTTCAGTATTATGGACTACAAATTTTGGAAAATGTGATAAAAACAAGATGGAAGATTCTTCCGAGGAACCAGTGTGAAGGTAGGAAATATTTTATGAAATTGTAAATTCAGAGAAACTTTATGAATCCTGACATTTTTTATCATAGTTAAGTATTTGGGTAGTGGGTGTATTGAATCTAGTTTATTATGCTCTAACTTGGCCTGGCCTCGGGGGATTGGGCCAAAACCAGCTCTCCGTCAACCCCTGAGGGGTCCCGGATTGGGAGAGGGCAGTTCTTGGGTTATGCACCCCAGAATCAGGCTCCCTCCTCTCTGGTTCCCTGTGTGTCACCGGAGAACTGCAGCTACCAAGTCACCGCAGCTCGGCATCTCCTGCATTGAGTGTCTGCCCCCTGGTGGTCAGTGTGCGTCATAGCTACTAGAGGCCTGGTGCACAAAAATTTGTGAAAGAGTAGACCTCCCTTTCCCCCAGCTGCTGGCACCGGCTTCCCTCCTACAGCCGCCAGCAGGCACCCGAGAACCTGGGCTGCTTCCCTCCTCCGGCAGCCTGCAGGCACCTGGAACCCGGTCTGGCTTTCCTCCAGCCCCAGCTTGGTCGGTCTAATTAGCATATTACCCTTTTATCATTATAGATAGATAGATAGATAGATAGATAGATAGATAGATAGATAGATAATAGAGATTATGGATGTCATCATGTGGCAAAGCAGGTTGTTTATAAGGTTATCTTTTTGGGGACAAAGGACACCATACTATTCAAACTTTTTATAATATTGTGATGAAAAATATGAATTTAGTTACTCTGGAACCATGTCTGAAGTGAATAAAATTTGAATGTGTGAATTGTTTAAAAATGTAGGACAGTAACTGACAAGTAATGAATGTAACACATGAACAGTACACAAACTTTAAAAAGAAAAGGAAAAAAACACATTTTAAAAATCACAGTAAGCCTTTACCTTTTGAATTGTAAGAGGTTGACATCTTAAAATAAAGATAAGAAAATGAAGATATGGTGAGCAAAAGTAGGTTTACAGTTGTGAGTATGTGAAAGTTTATTCTTATTGTAATATTTTCCATATGAACAGTTGTAAGCCCACTTTTGCCCCACCTGGCATTTAACTTTTCCCTTTGTATTATTTTGGTAAAACTACTCATAGTTTAAGAAACATGGGATAAGGTAGTCTCTTGGAATTCTTTGCATTTACTTTAATTTTTCATGTACTGCCTTTATTGCCTACTTTATATCACTTGTTTTAATCTCTGAAAAACATAGTCTGTACTTTATAATAGGGAGTATACTACTTTTGGTGGTATTTTCTTCTATTAAAATACTAGAGGCCCAGTACACGAAATTCATGCACGGGGGGGGGAGGGGGGGGGACACGACGACACACCCCTCGCTTCTTACTGCCCGCCTGCTCGCTGCTCCTTAGTGCTGCCGTGGAGTGGGAGAGGCTCCTGCCTCCACCGCTGCACTCGCCAGCCATGAGCCCGGCTTCTGGCTGAGCGATGCTCCCCCTGTGGGAGCACACTTAACCACCAGGGGCCACCTCCTGCACTGAGTGCCTGTCCCCTGGTGGTCATTGTGTATCACAGTGACCAGTCTTTCTGGTCATTCCGCCATAACGGTTGCTTAGGCTTTTATTATATAGACTAGAGGCCTGGTGCAAAAAAATTGTTGCAGAGGCTGGGGGGGAGGGTGTTCCTCATCCTGGTCTGCACCCTCTCACAATCCGGGACCGCTGGCTCCTAACCACTCACCTGCCTTACCTGCCTGATTGCCCCTAACTGCTTCTGCTTGCCAGCCTGATTGCCCCCTAACCTCTCCCCTGCCGACCTGATCGCCCACAACTGCCCTCACCTGCTGCAACCCGCCTCCTCCATGTGAGGTGGTGGAACCTCAGGACCCCCAGGCCTCACTGTGCGGAGCGGCTGCCAGGCCCCACCTCTGCTGTGCACATGCCATTTTACGGCGGCTTCACACATGAGGGCACGAGGACCACCTAGGCTTTTATTAGTATAGATGCCCCTTTCTTTGACTATGGATCTTTAAGATGTTGTCTTTCACTTGATTTCTCATGTCATCTCTTTTTTAAAAATACATTTTTTTATTGATTTCATTGAGGAAGAGAGAGATAGAAACAGCAGTGATAAGAGATAATCATTGATCACTGGCTGACTCCTGCACACCCCACACTGGGGATTGAGCCCGCAGCCCAGGCATGTGCTCTGACTGGGAATTGAACTGTGACCTCCTAGTTCATGGGTCTATGCTCAACCACTGAGCAACATGGGCTAGGCTCTCATGTCATCTTTATGGTGGGATAGGGACCTGGATTTACTCAGCTAGTCTGACTTAAATCTTGATATCTATTTAGCATGCTTAGAGGTAAATAAGACAAGTTTTAATGACAAATATTTTTAATATATTTTAAAATAAAGATTAAGAATGATAGTATAGGAGGAAATAGTGTCTCCAAAAGAAGTTCCTATTTCTTTAAATGTTTTATTTTGCATTGCAACCATTTTAGATCATGTTCTGTGACCTTCTCAGAAACTAATAAGAGCAGTTTGACTGTTGGCCCAAATAGATCCTTCATACTTTCCCATTGCTCTTTAGGGGCCTTAGATGCTGTTTTCCTTTACTACTTTTGTTTGATACACATGTTCTGGGCCTCAAATTTAACTTGGGCCATGACTTACCATACCCCAAAAAAGTGTTTACCATTTTACTGTAGTATAAGTCCCTCTTTTGTTTTTAAACACCTAGACCTTTACTTGTGATCACATAGAGACTGTACTAGATCAGTGGTTGGCAAACCGCGGCTCGTGAGCCACATGCGGTTCTTTGGCCCCTTGAGTGTGGCTCTTCCACAAAATACCACATGCGAGCGCGCACATACAGTGCCATTGAAACTTTGTGGCCCATGCGCAGAAGTCGGTTTTCGGAAAGGAGATAGACGAAACAAGTATACAAGACAAGTGTGGATGGGAGAGTTGGAAAGGGTCGACCTCATCGAACGTACCTCAATCAGATTGAGGACGTTTTTAGCAAAGGCCAGGTTAGGAGTACCCTAATTAAGTTAATAACAATGTACCTACCTATATAGTTTAAGTTTTAAAAATTTGGCTCTCAAAAGAAATTTCAATCATTGTACTGTTGATATTTGGCTCTGTTGACTAATGAGTTTGCCGACCACTGTACTAGATGATCTTCCATGACCTTTTCCAGGTTTAAATTTAAGTGATTTAAAATTATACTAGTTTATCAAAGTCATGATTGTATTTGTTATTTATAAAATTAGAGGCTAAGGGTCTACCTGAGGATTCAACATTGTTTGCTTTGTACATGAAGGGGAGTGTGGTATATTTGTTTTTTGTTTAATTTAAATTTAATTCTATATTTATAGTGTTACATAAGTCTCCTTTTTTGCCCCATTGACCTCTCCCCGGCCACTCCCATCCCCCAGCACATGCCCTCGTCCCCCCTGCTATCTGTGTCCATTGGTTATACTCATATGCATATATATTTGGTTTCTTATTATGACATCGTAAGAGCTCCCATATATTAATATGCAAGTATCCAACATATAATATTTCAGAGGGCTTAAGACTTTACTTTCAAGAGCCTATTGTCATGTTTGAAAAGACTGGAGGGGAAGCAGTGGTGATTATACTGCTTGGCTTAAGAGAATTCTGTTCTGTTCTTTTCTCATCAGTAAAGCATTGGAAAATAAATTCAGTACTGTATTAATTTTATAATTCTTTTTAACATTGTCAGTACTGGGAGGCTTCTCCAGGCTTATGATTTTGTATTTCACAGAATATGCTAGTATTTCTGAAAGTTAATTTTCCTTCATCTTTAAGTAACTTTGGTATTGGAAATGAATTAGTATAACCCTTCAAGTACTGTACATTTCTTTGTCTTTGTCATGTCGTTTAAAGCTGTCAGCACTACTTCTTACTCTATCTTAGCATATATATTTACTAGAGGCTCGATGCACGAAATTCATGCAAGGGGCTCTGCCCCCACCACGGCATTGTCCAGAAGGACATCCGGTCTAATTAGCATACACTTTTATTATTACAGATTTTCCTGGGCACATATTGTGTATCTGTTTCGAACAAAGCATGATTAGGTATTAAGACTATATAAATATATCCTTACATCAGAGTGCATGCTAAGGGTCAGAATGTGCTAAAAGAAGGGAATAATGATTAGGTCGGGCCATTTAGACAAGTTCCTTCATACAATTGCAATGCTTGTATTTTAAAGGAAGTGTAGGTTTAGCTACACAAACAACAAACCAAAATAAATTTTGTACATTTTTTCCATCTAGCAATTTTTAAAATCTGATTTCAAGTGCTTGTTCATAAACGGTTAATTTTAACATGTTCTTTTAGGGTAATGGTACTTTTAATTCAGGCCTCTTGTCTTAAGCACTTTGCCAGGAAAATCTCTGACAATTCTAGACTGTGTTTAGATGTTTCTTGCTGCATGTTCCCTTAGTAGATCCTGTACCAGTGGATCACAGATGAATACAATTTCATTGAGCAAAAAACACACAGGTAATAATTAGCCAAGTAAGGACATTTAAAAAAAACCACACAGTTAAATGACATTTTAATTTCAAAATGATCAAGGGAGATACAATGTTCATAATAAAACATTTTTTAAAATATATTTTTATTGATCTCAAAGAGGAAGGGAGAGAGATAGAAACATCAATGATGAGAGAAAATTATTGAACAACTATCTCCTGCATGCCCCTATTGGGGATTGAGCCTGCAAACCTGGGCATGTGCCCTTGACTGGAATTGAACCCAGAACCCTTCAGTCCACAGTCTGATGCTCCATCCACTGAGCCAAACTGCCTAGGGCCATAAAAAAACATTTTAATAAATTTAGATTTATATAATACAAAATCTGCTACATTGCTTTGTTGTTGTTGGGGTTTTTTTAGGCCAGAAAAAACGTTAACTATTTGAAGTCTCCCTCCACTACCACCGCCATAACATTTCTCATACGTGGCTGTCATTGTTTTTTCTCACTCTCTTAATACCTCAAAATGTTAG